ATAATAAACAAAACTAACCCTCGCAAGAGGTTTTTAAATAGCACAGTTCTTTTGATTGAATTTTCCCACAGCAAACATTGAACTTGAATGGACTTAAAGCTAAGAGTGGAATGTGTTGCCGCTCTTTTTTGGAGGGCACCTTCAAACGCAGCCATTGACCGTGGTCAGGGACAACGCGGCCCGGCCCTGAGACTCACTATTCGGCATGATGTAACGTTCACAATAGCGGTAGTCTACTCTATTCAGCCAATTGAGGTAGGCTAAGTACTTACATAATACGAAAATATATTTCACATTACTATTGAATAGTGAATTGACCTCCGTCTATTGATTTATTTTTGATGTTTGTTTCTTGATATTATTGAAGTGTTAATACAATATAGTATAAATTATTGCAAATGAAGTTACGTTTAGAAACCTGAACTCGACGTACTATGAATAATAAAAAGAATAAACAATTTAATTATGAATGTTTTTTTATTGTTTTTTTTTTTCTTGTAACTGATGTTTACATACAATGTATTTTACCTGAATAATGACATACGTTAAATAGATTTATAAAGTTAAAACAAGTACATACTACTAAAGAGATTATTTACATACAAATATATGAACTGGAAGATAAAACGTATGTTTAAATAATTATAAGATCAATGGTGCATTCAATTATTTGACACAAATATACCTGAAATTTAGACGGCAGTATAATTTACTACTAGACAAATAATTTACTATTTCCTGAATAAATGCAAGATCATGATGGCTTCTAGACATTTTCTACGGTAGAAATAACCGTTATTCAATACTTTGAATATTATTTTCACTGATTATAATGATCTAATAATAGTAAAATTTTCTTTAATTTCTCGTTTCTTATCGGATTCTTTTCAATTTCAATCTCTCATTTTGTCAAGATTGCGTTTTACTGGACATTACTTAATTAATATTTTATGAATGTAATTATATTTGTTCTACATTCTTTTATGGAATCTTAAATTGTATTAATTCATTAAAAATCCAAATTTTGAAATACTTTTGCAAGGAATGACTAAACGTCGATAATAACTGTAATATGTATAATTACATAGTATAGTAAAGCATACGATGTAAATTTCCAACAACGTTTATAAAAGTACTTAGAAAAATGTATCAAATATATGTATAAGCAAAATCCTTAGAATATAATTCCATCAAATACCTCGGATATATATACTAAATTGTAGTTGTAAGTAGGAAGGTCTTATAAATAATCTGAGTGAAGTATAAAAGCTAAAAGGATGTTTTATATGTTCACAAGGGAACCGCTTCATTCTATTGTAACTAAGTATTAGATTACTACCTGTATTCTGCTTTCGAGTTTTACATTTATCTGATACCAGTATTCAATTACTCATTTACTATATAAAACTCTTACTTCTCCCAAAACAGAAGAGACAGCCTTTTCTAGAGACCATAAAGTTTTGTCACCAATCAGATGTATTAAATTTTCCATAATAAAAAATTTACATTCTTTTAAAAACAATAAATTATACGAAATATATGCGTTACCACACCCAGTTTGTACCCATACAGATATTCAAATTTTATATTGTTGATACCTACTTTAAATCTATTTTTAAAACTATACTGAAATTCTAAATGGCTTGGAATCCATAAATAAAGAATTTTTAATTTAGAATTAATTTGGAAATATTTTAACATCTACTCGGAAGGAAAAAGAAAAGAATAAAAGAAGGAAGAAGAAAAGAATTTAAAACTTCACCTGGAATATTCACGGCTATAGCAGAACAATGAATATGTGTATTTTGAACTCAAGAAAAGAATGATTAATGATGAGGAAACTGTATTAAGTGAACACCAAATTAATTAAAAAAAGACAATTATAAACAACAATAGTAGCGTGACATAATGACTACACAACCTGATAAAATATGTCCAAGATGACATTTAGAAGAGGAAAAATATAAATAATAATACTAGCAGGTAAAAATTAAGATTTCGAAAATTGGTAAACATATCAAGTTATACTGATAGTGCTTGGATACTTACTGCAATAATCGTAAAAGGTAAAAAAAAATCATACTGTGGTTCAAAAATGGCTATGCAAACCCACGACCAAAATGAAAAGTTCGATAAATTTCTGTAAAAAAAAAAACAAACAAAAATTGTTTTCATTATTTTATTACATTCATAAAACAATATCATTGTAAAGTACAATTTTTGGTCGCAAACAACTTCAGTTTAGATTTAACATCAAATAACCTATTCGTATTCACAAAATGTAAAATAATAATTATAATATCGGCTGTTCAAATACAGCTGTACAGAGCGAAGCATTGATATGAAATTAAATTAGCGCACTCCTATCATTAGTTCTTATCTCAAAAAAAAAGCATCGGATTGCTACAAGTCTTATGTTCTTGATGAAAATTGCAAAGTGGTCATTTGTACGAGTTTGCATCGTCAAAATTAATATTTTTCTGAATTATTCATTCATAAATAGTCGCACAATTGAAGTATATTTTGACGAGACGTAACGTGAACATTTAAAATTTCACAACCATTATCTTACATCCACACAATAACTTGTGTAAAAACGCCATAATTTTTTACTGCGAACATTCAAATACAACAAGATGCATGCAAACACCGATTAACATTTTAATTATATTTACATCAACCTCTTTAAAAAATCCCTCTCACCTTAGGCACGAATATTGTATGGTCGGCACATTTACTCGAAATTTTTTTTTATATTACTGATATGTCGTCAGCATTTACAATAAAAGAAAACTTATTTATTCATTTGATTGACAAAATTATGGGGATTCTGCATAACGAGATCATGTGCGTATTTGGCGTATTAACATTTAATCAACAAATCGAATAGCTAATTAATTTTAATTATAAACATTATCCAAGCGACATTGAGCTCTGTGTTTATACTACATTAGCATACGAAAGTAATGTCTATAATGTACAATACAATGAAAAATAGTATGAAAACACATAATGAACATATATGACCCAATACACAATCTTATGTAATAGGAGTATACACATCAATATATGATGAAAAGCGATATACATAATGTCCATATTTCTTATAAGTGATGTAGAAAAAGTATATATAATAGTGAAAAAATCATATATTTATATGTGAAACATTAAAATGTATTCAATGAATTCTTTACAATAATTACCTTATGTATTGTAAATGCCAACTTCTTATTGGAATAAAGGAATGACCCCATATGGCACATGTAAACTTTTAGTGAATGGAGTCATTGTGAGAGAACTGTTACTATTTGTTTCATAATGAAAGCCGCTATACAAGAATGAGACATTATCCATTATGTCACAATCTTATATATATTTATATATAAAAAAAACTTTGTACCACATATGTTAAGCTAATGTAATTCTAGCTGCATCCCATTTTTAATTCAAAAGGCAAGAACTATTTATGTATTTTATGTAGATAAATTATATTATACATTCAGATCATCAAAAGTTCCTAAATCACATATATTATGTATAGTATAAAAGCTACATTAGTGTATTTTAAATCTTATATAGGTTACATAGAAAACTTATTTAGGTCAAATTATATCTAACTATATCTATATATACAGGTTCTCTTAAACATAAAAGACAAAAAAATAATAATTAAAGTAACTTAAATAGTATGTAAACATTGATATTGATGTCGCCCAGATCATAACGATTTGTAAACATTTCCGTGTGTTCTTATTATTACTTTTACCTAACCATTGTATAACTTACCTTATTTTACCCTGCTATCATACAAACTTGCTTCAATGAAACAAGTATTGTCAATTGTATTGGCCAGCCTATTCCTATTTCAACCCTGCTGTTTTAAATTCGCCAATTTTATCATATTCCCAAACGCTTTCCCTTATATTGTCAGTCATTCTTCAGTTAACTCATTAATTCAGTTAATTCATTAACCCATACAAAATTTTATAACAATAAAAACTAATTCATAAAGACAACATGGACAATTTTTATATTACAATTGTATAATTTATTTAACATTTAGGACTTTTCAAAATCAACCATCAATCTGCTGAGTAGGTAGGATATAAAATTTACCTTTTTTTCTTTTTTATATAAATAAACAGCGGTGAGGAGTGAGTTATGTTTAATTAAAGTCGCCAGCAGCATAAAATAAAGAGGTTTTACATAATCTTATAGTAACAAAAAAAAATAATAATATCATTTAATATTACACTTAATATCTACAAACTACAAAAATATAAAATAATTCAGTCATTACAATTTTTCGATGAATTATGATAAAGTCAATGCAGAAGTTGTGAAGACAAATCCAATTACAAGATAACAATGCATTAAGAGCATTGAAGAACTGTTTGACTAGTGAATTAGGCACACATATTATTTACAGCTAAATTATCATATTCTACACAATTCAGCCCTTAACCTCAAAGAAGGTTGCATATTTACGAAATCATACCAGATTTACACAGATTAAGAACATCAATTATGTTAAAGTTTTGTTTGAAAATTTCTACATGGTCATTTCTCTTGATGGCGATCAAATTAAGATGTGATATGTCAATATTTCACAAAGATAACATTGCACACAACATAATGAATGACAATGTATTTATATATCTATAATGGAAATTGTACTCATCATATTACATTATTGACAACAATATTTGGCACATATTAACCTAGAAATGATCGAAAACATAGAACATACACAGATTTACATATTCCAATTTAAAAAAAGTTGTGTTTAATATAAAACTGGTTACAACCAATGTCCATATTGAGTTTTGCTATATAAAGTGTGACATAAAATTGACTTAACAAGTCTTTAAATTCTTGTCCTTGCTTTCATATGTACTACAATGTAAGCCTTAAATTATAATAAAATTATCCTGTGGAGTTTGTTTTCATGAATCAAAATAAGTTAACACTACACATATCAAATCAAAGGAACGTTACACCTAACATTCTGATATACCACTGTGACGTTTTAAATGTTCACTGTTGTCATCACTGTCCGAGTTCTTTCGTTTACGATTGTCAAACCTCACACCTGTTTCTTGTACAACCTTCTCACTATTTTTAATCGCTGAGATTATATTTTCTCTGGATGGTGGTACTAATTTGAATTCCTCTACACTTTCGCTTGTTGGCGGTTCAACTAAATGCATAACAATTCTCTCCAAACGCTTAGGATGTTCAACGGGAGCTTCATCTATAGCTGCCACTACCTCGTTTTCCGTTCTCTCGGTATTCACCATCACAGAGAATTTCCTTTTCATTTCTTCCATCATCTTTCTACCATAATCTTCCCCTATAACACTATTAACACATACAAAACTTTGTACTTTTTTCGTTTTTTTATCTATTTCAAGGTAACCTCTTGATCTCATATATAAAAAATGCCCCGATCTGGACATGAGTCTGTAATAAGACTCTCCAAACTCTCTACTTTGGTCATACATTTGGCGTAGTATGCATACAACCCAACGGACATCTTCTTTATGCATGAAAACAAATGCAGATGCACCCGTTACCTCCTCAGTCATGTAACCTGCAGCCAGTGAGATACCCTGGTCACATTGCACAATTCTCCCATCTATCAAATGCCTTGTCCAATACTCAGAATATGCTGTAGGAGGCAGCATTCTCGCTGGTAGGTTATTTGATAAAACATGAACCATAGCAATAAAAACATAGTCATTCCCACTTGATGAAAATGTCCTATGATTTCTTACTCGTTGTCTTCTTATAGTTTGCTCATCTTGGACACATTCGGATGTAGCATGATCAGACCGACGTAACACTCCATCGATTCTACAACGCTCATATCTCGGTGGATCTGACCGAGCCCCTGCTCTCATTATCCGAATGTGAAATGTATGATGTTGTTCTAAAAGTTTTGGATCACAGCCTGTGTGTAACTCAGGAGGAAATATATGTAGTTTTAAAATTTCTTTGTCATCATTGTGAACATAGTTGTAAATATCTTGACTAAGGAGATCTATGTGACAATATCCTAACTTATCTTGGACATTTGGTGAAACATTGCAAATACGACCTTTGCAAGTTATAGCAATCATGAAGCCCCCAATGAGATCAAAAAATTTTAATATGGCAGAGGACCATGTCTCGAGGTGACAGCATTTGATTGAATCACCGAAAACATGTTCATTCCTCAGTTTGGTCGCCGCAAGACGCAAAACGCTAGTCTTATCAACTTTTCGTTGGGAATGAACAATATCAGACAACAAAGACATCATTTGAGCTATCTGAGAGTTAAACTGACTCCTGCGGTGTTTCTCAGCTATTATACGAGACTGTCTATCACTTGCTTTGACTATTGGTATGTCAGGCGAATTAGCATCCGACGAAGAGTCGCCGCAACTCACTGTTTGTAATTGAAATGTTTGTGGCACGGCTACGGCCATTCCAAAGTCTGGATTAGAAAGACCAACCTGATTTGTCATCCCGGAATGCACTCCGAGACGAGTGCTAGCTGCTCCAGAAGATGCCATCGTTATCAACGTTTCACATGTGGCCTTGTTTAGATGTCATTTATCAACACTTCAAATTTGTAAGAATAAACATCGCTACTTCGTTGGTCATTCAATGATTTAGAATGATCCATTTCACTTCACAACTTTTAAATTGTTCATAAATGTTTCTATAATAACAACGTTTTGCACAAATTGAAACTATTCACGTAATAATTAATAATGCTTTAGAGTTCACAACACGACACAAACCACCTCGCGACTACAATAGGAGTGCAGCGCGGAGAACCAGTGATTACATTTTCCAAATGATATCTTGTCACAGACTAATAAAACCCAACTGAGGAAAAGGCGCCAAGTCAAAAGAGACAGATCTGTGATAAAATAAATTATTGTAAATTGTGGTATCAGTATCAAACTGATTTTATTTTATTTAATTTTATACAATATAAATCATAAAATTTAATACTTTTCGTCCTACTTCAGAATTAAAAATTTTGATTTTGAATATCTACAAAACATCGAAAAATACATTACTAATACCGATATTATTGGAGACTATATTTTATTAATGTTGTGGAATTGGCAATTAGCGATTTTTTAAATATACCTATTAATATAATAATGTACCTATTAATAGTGTTGGCATGCAGATTTACGGCCGTGACCCGACATATTAATATTTTTGTATTACGTTTGAAAATTTCTACTAACATATCCATTGTCTTTAAGTTTTTTCTGACTTCTAAATAATATTTTTTCATGTATTTTTTGAAACTTACACATCCTTTCATTTATGCAGCTTTATATAGATTTATTTAATATATTACAGTACAGTAGTACCCGAATAAACAAGTGTTATAATATTGTAACTTAATTATACCAGTGTCTTAGGATCTTCATTCAAATGTATGAAAATATATAGAAAAGAACAAAATCGGATTTGATGTTTCTGGACGTGTATGGTATATTGTCACTGTCAGTTGTGTCTTATTCAAGCTAGAAATGGCCTTAAGTAAAAATATTAAAATATCTAGGTTGGACAAACTAAAATTTGTGTTTAAGTATTTGATAGAGATTTAAGGTTAAAGAAATTGATAGTACCTCATTATTAAATAAATATTTAAATATAATAATTTATACTGGCAACCTTAAAGTCTGCCGTCACTTGTCAAATAGTAAGCGTAACGACTAAAGTTTATTTGCGCAAAAACAGTACCTACCTGCTAATTTGTCGCAAGCGCAAGTTGCGGTTTATTATGTGATTCTATAAATATGAATTATAAGTTGTTATAAATTAATTTTGAGAACAGGAAAAGTGTAAATATTCAAATTAAATTTGGATTCTTCTTGCTATGAAGTGACAAGTTTTTTTTATTTAATAATAATAAACCGGTTTTACCTTGTGCGTTTCAACAAATATATTTGGTTCCAACTAAGGAAAAATATTCAGTGGATAACTAACTCTAAGTCACAAAATGTATCTCAAACTGATTGTTTACTGTAATTTATTAATATTAACTGTGTTTGCTGGCGAAGGTAATAATTTTATTCTATTTAATTACAATTTGTATATAAATATAAATAATTATCGTGTTCACTTATTTTCGTGCAGTTGATGACAAATGCAGACCCAACGCATCAATTAAAGAAGGAACTTGTAAGCTGATAACTGATTGTGAGGTCGCCTTGAGGTCAGTATAGTTAAGATAGAGATTAGAAATTACTCGGAAATAGCTAGACCTAGCCCGATATATAATATTACGAAACTAATATTATCTAATACCAAAATAATTGCAGGTCAATCAAAAAGAACCAAGGTCATCCATATGCAAGATGTGGTTTTAGCAAGTCGTTTGAGATAGTATGTTGTCCGGACCAAGTTGATTTACAACCAACAGTCACAATGAACCCGTTTAAAAGGACTACCTCGGCACGACCAGCGGATAAATTCGGTAAAATCATTAGTTTTAAAATTTTCTTCTTTCATATGTAACATATTTATATTATTTACTCCTTTTTAGGTGAAGTAGACACCAGAACAGTTAGAATAGCTGATGAGGGTGAGTTATATATCTTTTTGTCTTTCACAAATAATTCATTCATATAATGAAATATAAACTGTAAAAAATTTGTTTGGAATATACACAGATCCGTGTAAAAATGATTTTTCGTAAATTTTAACTTGTAAAGTTACAAATTGATTTCATTATTACTTACTGAACATATGTATGTATGTTTGTACAGTTCCTTGTACTACATACTATCTCTTAGTAAAATTCCCATAAAAAATCTCAAAGATTACAACCATCCATTAAATATAGTAATATTATATTTAGTAGTTGACAAAACAACAAAAAGGCAATTAATCTTGCCTTTATTAAATTATTATAGATAATAAGTAGTAAATAATTATACATATTATATTATTTCTGTTGACTATTTTCTTTATCACGTTTATGGATGATTTACATTTTAATTATACATATATAACTAGCTTTTGCCGCGACTGCGTCCGCGTGGAATAGTGACTTCCGGCAGATTTTTGGTTCTTCCCACATAGTTCCCGTTCTTGCGGGGTTTTCGGAATGGTCGAGTGCCCGTAGAATTTTCAGGATAAAACATGTTTTTTTTTAATTCACAATGAAGTACTCTTAACCAACAACATATTTATTTGTTTATTTGAATAAAGATTAATATTACTATGTTGATACAACTTAAACAAATTATTTCGACTAAATTAGGTACCATAAAAACGATTGTTGTGAGTTAATCTTAAAAGATAGACATATACTGTCCCGGACTGTTTTTTAGATCATTAAAAGAGCTATTATTCTTTAATACATATTTTTTGTGTATCCTCAACCGTTTTCATGGCGCACGCAACGGAAAGCTTCAAAGATGAAATAATTTCTCCCGTTTTTTACACATTTACCACTATATCTTTGCTCCTATTGGTTGTAGCGTGATGTTTTATAGCCCACAGCCTTCCTCGATAACTGGACTATCCAACACAAAAAGAATTATTCAATTCGAACCAGTAGTTTCGGAGATTAGCGCTTTCAAACAAACTCTTCAGCTTTATAATATTAGTATAGATATGTATTTCTAATTGATTTTCTTCGCATTCTAAAGTTATAACAATTTTAACAGTGATAATTTCGAGAGCAGTTCATTATGACCAAAAATATTTTGAAAATATACCCAAATTTTTTATTGTATTTTTCAGCCTGTAAACAAATCATCAAGAATCGCCTTCCTCCTCTCGGCTTGCATATAATTGGTGGCGTAGAAGCTTCACCTGGGGAATTCCCACATATGGTGAGAATGTCTTGGAAATTTCCCGATCAAATAAAATTCACAACATCTAGTTTATATTTGGGTTTCTTTATAGGAAAAATATTTTTCCTACATTTTCCTCATTTTATTGTTATGTGTTCAACAAAATTCAAATATCTATGCTAAGTTTACATTAATATTTATCTGTTTATATGCCCATCTACAATGCACATGTCATAATTAATTACTTGAGAGGATTTTCCTTGTTATGAATATTATTTTAAATGTATATATGTTATAATTGGCAGTTTTCAGTACACAATGATTATAACCATATATAAACAATCTATTTATTTACAAATAAATGCTTCAAAGCAACTGTTGTTTATTAAAAGTTATGCCTTAATAATATTATTTTTAATATAATATTTAAAGATGAATATAATATTAAGAAATAAAGAATTAGTTCTAACTTAGTTCAGTTCAGAATCTTTTCAGAGCTGTAAGGAATTTGTGTTCAGTGAAATGAATTGGCGATGTAAAATAATATGTATTTTATTTCACAATCTTTGATAATAATTACAAACTTGTTTAGTTAAGATCTTCTTATATATTTTTAGGTGGCTTTAGGATATGGTGGACCGGACGTGTATGAGTTCAATTGTGGCGCTTCACTGTTGTCAGAGTTATATGCATTAACAGCGGCTCATTGCGTCGACACGCTGACTCAGTAATTATATACAACATTATGTTATGAATATATTAAACTATTTTAATACTAATAAAATATTGAATGACATCACAACTTGTGTATATATGTTTTATTAAAGGTTAAATCTCATTTGTTTTGCAGAATTAAACCAACTATAGCTCGTATGGGTGTCGTTGAACTTGGTGAGAAGACGTTTAATCCGAACACTGACTACAGGATAGCAGATATATTGATACATCCAGATTACTTGAGACGCACTAAATATCATGATTTGTCATTAGTAAGGTATTTGACTAAGCAAATGGTGCTACTATAAGCAAACACTATAACATGAACTCTATTGTCAAATTTAAAGAAATATTCACCAAAATACACTTAGAATTATGACACATGTAGAACAATTTAGGTACATTTTTTATTTCTAACATAAAATTGCTAACTTTGTGGTTTTACCCATTAGGATGGAAAGACCGGCTGAATTTGGAGTGAATATCGGTCCAATATGTTTGTATACAAATTTGCAAGATCCAACAACATCACTCACTGTTACTGGCTGGGGAAAAACCAGTATTACAAGTAAGAATATTAAAAATTATTGCAAAAAGTATTTATATATATGTTGTAAGTTTTATGAATAATTTTTTAATATTGTACTGTAAACTGTAAAAACTATCTGAGAGAACCTATTATGTAAGTGAAATTTAGCAATAAATTGATATCTTATGTCTTTTTATATTGAATTTATTTTCAATAGAGGAGGACAAGAGTGATGTTTTGCTCAAAGCGAATGTCACCGTTGTGGCTAGAAGTAAATGTGGTCAATCTTATTCCAATTGGCGAAAGTTGCCTAGCGGCATCTTGAAGGAACAAATATGTGCTGGGGATCCACAAGGACTGAAGGATACATGTCAGGTACATACATACATACATACATACATACATATAGTAAAAATATCTAAAATAGTCATAAAGCAAATAATATTACATGCTCTACTCAGCTACTCTAATCGATTATATGTTGGTTATAAATTAAAATAAAAATCAATTATTCGCTACAGAAAATATTAAATTAGTACTGCAAATAAAATATATGCACATATTTATACTTCATTTTAATAGTTATATATTTAATACTTTTTGTTGCCTACATACTACTGCAACTAGCTAATTTCAATCTAATATGATATAATATTAGATTGAAATATATTTAGAATTTTGTTTTCATGATACTCAAATATAGAACATTCTTCCATTAAGGTCGATAACATTATTCATAACGGTTTTCCCTATACTGGGTGATACATATATAATTTGTTTTCATGATTTTTAAATTTAGAACATTCCACTGTGAAGGTTGTTAATATTAATCACAACGGTTTTCCCTATACAGGGTGATACATATACTTGTTATATAGTAATTTGTTTTCAAGATTTTTAAATTTAGAACATTCTACTATGAAGGTTGTAAATATTAATCACACAGTTTCCCTATAAAGGGTGATACATATATAGTAATTTATTTTCATGATTTTCAAATTTAGAACATTCAGCTGTGAAGGTTGTTAATATTAATCACACAGTTTCCCTATAAAGGGTGATACATATATGATTTGTTTTCATGATTTTCAAATTTAGAACATTCTAGAATCATAATGGTTTTCCCTATACAGGGTGATTCTGGCGGTCCATTACAAGGTTTGGATGACCATGACGGTCAGTATCGCCTAGTGGGTGTGACGTCATTCGGCCGTGGTTGTGGCTCGCCAGTGCCAGGGGTGTACACGCGTGTCGCACACTACCTTGACTGGATAGAAAGTGTTGTATGGCCGAACGGTTTGGACACGTCGTCTAATTAAATGTTAAACATTGGAACAAACAGCTCGTTCAAATACTTAGTTCAAATAAGGCTAATAAATATTTTTTTTTTCATCGTATCTGATTCTGATACAGCCAGTATCATACAGAATCAGTTGTTTCAGAACTATTTTTAGTCTTTTACACATTTGATACAGAGTATACTTATATAGATTTTTTTTCTTATCTCTCATTTTGTAATTTTAATTGATTTAGTTAAATATTTAATAGGATTAAAATGTTTATTGTTGCCAGTTAGTTTTCAAAATTGCTCAAACTTGTATTGATTATAAGTGTTTTTTTGCTAATACGTAATATAAAACTATTTTGTAATCTTTGCCATTTTATATATTTACTTTATACTTATTGTACAATTTTATTCTATTAAAACAACATTATTGTAAGTTATCTATTTAAAAAAAAAATTGCCATGACACAAGTATATTTTTAAAATTGTTGTTCTTAAAAGATGATGAAATATAAGTACATATCTTAAATTTAATTTAAGAAGTAATTTTCTGTTAATTCTTGATATCTCATTAAATATAGAAAATGTATACTTTATTGCTTATATATATGTATTTATTATGCAACAAGTGTTGAAGATTACTATGTTTTTATATGTAAAGTTGGTATAACGAAATATTTGTATGTTACTAGTCAATTATAACAAAACTCGGAACTTAGTACAAGATCAATAATATAAAGATGTTTGTGAATATAAATAATTAAGAGAGTGAAAAGTTTTACTAGTACTTATTTAGAAAATGAAATTTTCAAAAATGCTCAAAAAGTTTTTGATATATTTTTTTTATAATATGCTTTATAGGTAATTTAAATGGGATTCAATAAACAGAACAACGAAAAAGTATTTTATTTTTTCACTAGCTGGAATAGTGACTTACGGCAGATTTTTGGTTCTTCCCACATAGTTCCCGTTCTTGTGGGGTTTTCGGAATGGTCGAGTTCCCGTAGAATTTTCAGGATAAAACCTATGTTTTTTTTATTCACAATGAAGTACTCTTAACCAACAACATACTTACTTGTTTATTTGAATAAAGATTAATATTATTATGTTGATCCAACTTAAACAAATTATTTCGACCAAATTAGGTACCATAAAAACGGTTTTTGTGAGTTAATCTTAAAAGATAGACATATACTGTCGCGGAGTGTTTTTTAGATCATTAAAAGAGCTATTATTCTTTCATACATATTCTTTGTGTATCTTGAACCGTTTTCACGGCGCACGCAACGGAAGGCTTCAAAGATGAAATAATTTCTCCCGTTTTTTACACATTTACCACTATATCTTTGCTCCTATTGGTCGTAGCGTGATGTTATATAGCCTTAAGCCTACCTCGATAACTGGACTATCCAACACAAAAAGAATTATTCAATTCGAACCAATAGTTTCGGAGATTAGCGCTTTCAAACAAACAAACAAACTCTTCAGCTTTATAATATTAGTATAGATTTCCCTATTGTTTAATCATTACCTCATTAGTGTACTCCACTTAAAAATTCAAATTCAAAAGGTTTTGTACAGGTAAATAATTTCAAGTTAATGTTCATTAATATATCCTTTAAAGAAAAAATTTAGAACTTTAGCTGTAATTATTGTTCTGTGCCTTAACGGGCATTGTGTTGCCAAGACAACACATTCCGTCTAAAATAAAAAGGTCAATTACAACTTATTGTTCATAACTAATCACGATAACTATTGTATAACTCTCAATAAGAGCAACTAGTATAATAAATAGAATAATAAATTACCTACTTTTATATTTTTTTTGTACAAAAATACTAGAAAATATTATGTACTGACTTATATATAGACAACATAATTTTCCACTACTCATTAAGTGAATTGACAGTGACATTTCAAAATAATTAAATGACAATGACAGAAGACATTGCGTGCATGCTGGGATTGTAAATACCTATTAAGCGAAACTTACATTATAATTTATAACAGTATTTATCTTCAAGAAATAGTAAGTCAATATGGATGATCAGGAAATTGAAGAAGAGTCTCCCAATACCGGGCCGGTAGAAAATGCTTGGGCTATGAAAATTCCTAAATTCACACAAGAAGATAATCCACATGGTCTCTTAGAGGAAAGCAAATTTGCTACACTATTTCCCAAATATCGTGAACAATATCTAAAGGAATGTTGGCCACTTGTTCAAAAAGTATTGAAATCACATCATATTGTAGCAGAATTGGATCTCATTGAGGGAAGCTTAACAGTGAAAACAACAAGAAAAACCTGGGATCCTTACATTATTATTAAAGCGAGGGATTTTATGAAGTTACTTTCCAGAAGTGTACCGTTTGAACAAGCTGTGAGGGTTTTAGATGATGAAATCGGATGTGATATTATCAAAATTAATTCCTTTGTCAGCAAAAAAGAAACATTCTTAAAAAGGCGCCAAAGATTGATAGGTCCTAATGGTGTCACATTAAAATCAATAGAATTGCTAACAGAATGCTATGTATTAGTTCAAGGAAATACAGTTTCTACGGTTGGACCATACAAAGGTTTACTGCAAGTCAGGAGAATAGTTGAAGATACTATGAAAAATATTCATCCAATGTACAATATTAAGAATCTTATGATTAAAAGAGAGCTCATGAAGGACCCTAAATTAAAAAATGAAAGCTGGGATAGATTCCTACCCAAATTCAAAAGTAAAAATGTACCTAGGAAACAGCCTAAAAATAAAATTAAAAAGAAACCATACACTCCCTTCCCACCGCCCCAACCTGAAAGTAAAATCGACAAAGAGCTGGCTTCGGGTGAATACTTCCTTAAAGACGAACAAAAGAAAGCTAAACGTCATCATGAGAAGGAAGAAAAACAGATGTTGGCAAAGAAAGCACGACAAGAAGAAAGAAAGAAAGATTTCATTCCTCCGACTGAACCTACTACATCACATAATAAAGTATCCGAAGAATCGACGGTTGATATTAATCAATTTAAGGCAAAAATGAAGAAAGTTTCAAAACAAAACAAAGTTCTTAATAAGAAAGGATAAGTGGTGTCTAAAATAACCTTCTATGTATGTTACATCAATAGGTCATGAATCATATTATTAAAACAATTTATTACTTCTTTAATAAACTTTTGTTTTAGTACTGCTGTGTTTTAATTTGATATGTATCACCAATATCTTGTTTTTTTTATGGCAATTCAATAAATATACTTGTTATTGCAAATGTAGTATGATTTGTAGTGTGGCCGTTCTGTATGGCATTTACAATCACTGAAATATTGCTTACATTCCTATCATTGCCTTAAAATTTGATTTTGAAATACTAAGAAGTTATATTTAATTTAAGTAATATTTATTTCTGTTAAAGACTCAAAAAATATGTTTATATACATATATCAAATAAAGTTGCAAAAACTTATATTGTAGAGTAATTAAATCATCTAACAGAAATTAGAGTTCTTTTTCAAAATTTTTAGTAACATGTTAATTTTTAAGTTTTATAAACGATTTATCTTGTTTTATTTTTCACATAATATTGAATTTTAATTTTATTGTCAGTATTATTTATACCTAGTTTGAGTTTTATTTTATGAATATTGAATAGTATGAGGTAATTGCCATGTCTAAAAATAGTATGCATATAATATGATTTGCTAGACGTAAAGATATAAGGAGGGTTTCAAAGTTGTTAGTGTTGCTCTTCAAAGTCTAAGTATTCATTTCGTTAGGGATCGTCAAATTTACGTATAGTGTAAAAATTTAAGTGCTAACCTGTTTTAAATAGTGCTTATCCTAATCAATGGTATTTTGAAAAACTTATTTATGCTTACTCCGGCTTAGGCCATACCACGGGGTTTAAAAACTTAAATTTTACAACTAACAAGCAGTAAGCAGATAAATACAAATCGCAATATGTATATGAAAATAATAGTTTATTCTAACTTATTTATATTAGCTCTTATTTCTGGTGAAGGTGATTGTAATTTTTATGCATACCTTTATATATTTCTTTTCCTATAACTTATTTCTATCACTTATTTTTGTGCAGTTGATGACAAATGCAAACCTAATTTAGAAATTAATGATGGAACATGTAAGCTGATAACACATTGTGAGGTCGCCCTAAGGTCGGTGTTGACTTTATATGGATTAGATTGTGATATGAATTGTATTTAATTAATTAATCAACAGGTCAATCAAAAGTAACCGACGGCATCCCTTTGTCACTTGTGGTTATAGTGGTTTAAACGAGATTGTTTGTTGTCCGGACGAACAAAAAGTTATGATTGTACCAACAGTAAGGAAATATCCTTTTAACACAACAGTGAAATCTGCAGATGATTATGGTAAAATTACTTTTCTTATATTCCTATTTACATTTAACACAAGATTTCCTCCTCCGGGGCTTTTAAATTGGGCTCGAAGAGAAACGACTGTTAAGTGTTATGTGTAAAAAGAATTGCCATTAGCTAGCAGCGCCATCTGTACTCATTGTCACCTGACTTCATACAAAAAATAATTAGACTTCGTATTCCCGCGCAAGGAACACTGAATGTTAGAATAAATCATAATTTATATATTGTTCCGATATCTTTTAAGTTTTGTCATAGTCCTTTCAGTTGTTTTTATTTATGAATTAGCAAATATCCATACATCTTCACCAACTTTAACCTTTATAATATTAGTAATACCTAATACATACTTAGTCTTGCCACAAGTATTGTCACAAAGAAAATATTGGTTTAATTAAGTAATAAAAAATTGTCAATAGGAGCAAGTACTCTTTCTATGAGAAAATTCGTCATTGTCAATATTGAGGATTGTTTTAGAATCCAAGTTATCATAACTTTCAGAGCAAGTCTTCATCATTAAAATAATCCAAAAAAATTATATAATTAACAGCTAGATGACAGCCACCCAAGAATTTTGAAAATTGTATATTTTCATTTTATACCTACTTTAGGTATATGACGCAATAGCAGCGACTTCGTTCATTTTATTCCCCATCCACCACAACATTCCCATATCACAAAATATTTAACAATACTTTATAGCAAAAATAATGAAACATTATTTAGAAATAAGAGATTCGGAAATAAAACGTAATATTTTACTATTTTCAATTTTTTAATTGTCAGACCAAGAATAATTTATAATGACAAATGATGTTATCTTTATAACTGCTTTACAGGTGATGAAAGCAATATAACATTTGTCGTAGCTGAAAGGGGTAAGTTTTTTTAAATCGTCTTAAGGTAATGGCTCTGTGGTTGACCTTATTATTAAATTATTGTTCAATTTTTGTTCAAATTGTATGCATTTTATACCCATAAGTATGTATTATCAATCCAGTTATTTTGACTACTTTTTTCTCTAATAAATGTATATATGAATTCTATGGAAATTTGTGTGACAGCTGAAAATTAGAATATTTGATTTACCATCGACTTTATATATTTACAGCTTGTAAAGAAATCACCAAAAATCGCCTACCGTCTCTTGGGTTCCAAATAATTAACGGTGTAGAAGCTTCTCTCGGGGAATTCCCACACATGGTAATATATTGGTAGTATTTCAATAACTATTTAACATATTTAGTATTGCCATCATTTAAAAGTATTTTAATTCATATTTCTGCAATTTATCAAAATTAGCAAGATATTTCACAAAATGTTCGTTATCGGGATATGTAAAACGTTCTGCAATTTGGAATGTCAGTATAAATAAGGATTATCCATTAACTTTTAATATTGCATTAACTAAAATGATCTTTATTATTATCTATCCATAAAAACTAAACATAGATACGTAAATAATATGTTTGATCCAATCTACTGTGATAAATCAAATCTTAGATTTCAAAACAAAAACAATATTCATGAGCTTTTCATAAGATTAAATTCACTCTGAGTGTTGACTACAATATTGACTCAACCCAGCGCCGATCGAGATCCCTACACATGTTAATAATAAAAAATTATTAGTCCTTGTACAATATATTTATAGGTGGCTTTAGGATATGGTGGACCGGACGTGTATGAGTTCAATTGTGGCGCTTCACTGTTGTCAGAGTTATATGCATTAACAGCGGCGCACTGCGTCGACACACTGACTCAGTAATTATATACAATATTATGTTATGAATATATAAAACCATTATAATACTAATAAAATATTAAATGACATCACAACTTGTGTATATATGATTTATTAAAGGTTAAATGTCATTTGTTTTCCAGAATTAGACCAACTATAGCTCGTATGGGTGTCGTTGAACTTGGTGAGAAGACGTTTAATCCTAACACGGACTACAGGATAACAGATATATTGATACACTCAGGTTACTCGAGACGCACAAAATATCATGATATATCATTATTGAGGTATACTTATATAATTAAAAAATGCTTGCAATTAATAAAAGAATATCCTAGATAAACTGTATGCACAAACATAAAAGGCTGATTATAAAAATATATTATTAACAAAAATACTTTTAAAATTATTACAATCTCAAACATCGTCTTTCATCCATACAAGGTTTCTTTTAATAAGGATTTTTTTATGTGTTTACCAAATAGAATAGAGAGACCAGTCCAATTTGATCCTTTTTTAAGTCCAATATGCTTGCACACGAGTTTTCAAGATCCATTTGAAAGACTCACTGTAATCGGATGGGGAACAACAAGTAGTTCAAGTAAGACAATAATTTTTGTATTTTTAATTTTTATGTTTTTTTTATTTTCATGCTTTTTTAAACTGGTAACTATTACGATTTGATTCAAAATTAGAAATCTAAGCGGGAATTTGGAAGAATTTAAATTTTAATTGCGTACAATCAAAAAATAAGCTTTATATTATGCAAATATTACTTACTGTTGTAGAAGGAATCTAATAAAAGATGCATACCTATACCAAGTCTTAAGGTAGAGTTAAAAAATAAGACTTAAGAATTTAATTTTTGTATAAAATAGTAGAAGTAAGGGTTTGTTATTGACTTGGATTACAATTAACAGAACTGACAAGGAGTCAAACTCTGATGAAAGCCGGTGTGACTGTTGTTTCAAGAAGCGAATGTAACCAATCATTTATTAACTGGCCGAAATTGCCCAGAGGCATAATTGACGGACAAATTTGCGCAGGAGACCTGAGATCAGATACTTGTTATGTTAGTACTTTCTTTATTACAAATAGTAGATCCTTTTCTTTTGTTTCTCATATCTCATGTCACGTTAGGGTTATCAGATGAAAATTAGCAAGAATCGATTTAATATAAAATGACCTCCATGTGTCTTATCTTAAAATTTTTGTTATTGTATACATATAAATACGTAAAAAGGAAAATATCTACGGAAAATTAGGGAATTTTTCAGAAACAAAACAAATATAATTCATTAATCGATACCTCTTTTATTTTATTTTATCACCATTGTTGGCACCGTAAGAAGTTATAAAATTTTCATCACAACCAAATTCAGTGATTTCAAACACATTAGTAACGAATGTTTTAGTTATACAATATATTTCCCTAGAGAACATCTTGGCTTGAAATTTTAAATTTTTTTATAGGCTTTGGTAACAATGTAGCAAGTAGCTGGGCTTCATATTTTAAACGTGACTAAGAATATTATGTTTCCCTATTCAGGGTGACTCTGGTGGTCCAATGCAATTTCCTGATGACTACGACGGCCAGTACCGGCTCGTGGGTGTGACGTCATTTGGTCGCGGATGTGGAACTACAATGCCGGGTGTCTATACACGTGTTGCGTACTACATTAACTGGATAGAAAGTGTAGTATGGCCGGCTGGTTTAAAAACATGGACTAATTGATCATTGGAACACTTGGATAGAATTGAATAAAGCAGTAAATTGGTGTAAATAATGCTTTGAAAGGAACACATGATTGTAAATATTACATTATTTAAGTGTATGAAGTTATGAACAACCAAACTTAGGTAGTAAAAAATTGATATTTATTTATATACAACAAAATAAAACATATCTAAAAAACAAACATTTATTATTTTATTTCAACAATTCATAAACAATATTACAAAAACAACTTCTTACTTCTTAAGTTTAATTAATTTTAGCTTCGGTACAACTGTGTTTTTACTTATATATTTCTTTCCATCCATAAACGGTTGCAAGACTGTTGGTATATCTATCTTCCCTTTAGCATCTTGGTGCGTCTCCAATAATGCGATCAACATTCTCGGTATAGCACAAGCAGTTCCATTCAATGTATGTGTATATTTCTCAGAATTTCCATCCTTATATTTAATATTAAGTCTTCTAGATTGATAATCAGTGCAGTTACTACAGCTTGATATCTCACCAAAATTATTGCGTCCTGGCATCCAAGCTTCAATGTCATATTTTCTAAAAAAAAAGAGATTTAAGTTGAATTTCATCATCATCATCAGCCTATCAGAAGCCCACTGCTGAGCAAAGGCCTCTTTCTCACATGGAGAAGGTTTGAGCATTAATCACCACATTTACTCAAGACGATATTGCTTAAATTGAATTTAAGCAATATTTACTATATAGTATTTTCATACAAATATTTGTAATATATGGATATATTACCTATATGCGGGTGCTCCCAACTCATGAGGCGGCATATCCAAAACTTTCATATACAGACCAAGAGGTCCAAATAATTCTTCCTGGGTCTGTCTGATATATTCAAGCATTTCATCGGAATGTTCTGGAGAAGTTACTGCAAACATCTCTACTTTAGTAAATTGATGTACTCTGTAATTAATAGTCATCATTTAATTAGAAAAATGTTATGTAATAATTAAATTGCAAATAAGTATATAGTATAACTAAACCTGTATATTCCTCTTTCTTCTACAACATTTGATGTTTCAGCACGATAGCATCTACTAACAGCCGCCAACTTCAATGGAAGGTCTTCTTTTTGTATTAACGAGTTGGACAAAAGACCAGCTAAAGACATTTCTGCCGTTCCTGATAAATACAAGTCTGGACCATGATACACTGGGTCTAATGAGTAAATCTGTAAATTTTAACATAAATACATAACTATAGAGATATGCTAAATACATATATAAAAATTTCTCAAGTAAATGTACCTGTGTTCTGTCACTATTGATAGACATACCACAACTTTTCAGCACATGACTGGGAAGTATGTCAGGAACAGAAACCAATTGAAAATTCCTCTTTATAAGATTAGTTACGGTGTATTTTATCAAGGCCTCTTCTAATTCAGCTAATTCTCCTAAGTAATAGTAGCTCTTATTGCCACAAGTGTATCCTAATTTGTCAGTTCTTAATAAATTTAAATAATTTGTTATTTCACTAAACTCTAAAGGTTTGTGTGCACCAAAATCTCGCTTTTCATTTATTTCATGTATAACTTGAGGTTCCTCTTGATACGTTTCGACGGTTGGATGAGTTTTGTTAGGTAAATTAGCAAGTTGTTGATATAAAGTTTCTTTTAAAGAATTATAACTTTCCGTGGTTGATTGTGTAACTTTCAATAAATTATAAATCTCATGAACGCGATCTATGTCCCCTATACCTTTTCTTCTTTCAATATTCTTTTTGATATTTGCTTGATTTTTTAAGTCACAGTAATAGTTCATATCAATATCAGGAAGGCATGAATAGAATCGAATTTTCTTAGGAAATTTTATAAGCTTTACTGTAAGAACTCGATGAGTGAACATTATTACAAACTTTTTTGTCTATTTCTACAAGATTCCTTTTACTTCATTACTATCGCTCGAGTCACAATAAAACATTATATTCAAATTGAATTAAATATACCTTTTGAATTGTAAGTTTTGACAAGTGACAACATTGACAAATGACATTAGTTTTATTTGGATTATATCCATAGATATTATAGATAATCTATAGATTTTTTTGTCTATGGTCCACAACTATCCAAGATATTGACATTTCGTTTTAAAAATTTATAAATGACAACATTTAACGAAAAAAATATTGCGCGGGAAACTGACATGACATCTGAGAGTTGACGCAAACTTTATAAAGTAATAAGTTACAAGATTTTCTATATTTTTTTTCACATAGTGAGCAGCTATATAACCAATATCCAAAATGTTATTCTTTATATTTTTTTATAACATATGACATAACAAATTGTTTATATTTGTAAAAACATACATAGATACATTTTACAGACATGCTTACAAAATATCTAAAAAACAAACATTTATTATTTTATTTCAACAATTCATAAACAATATTACAAAAACAACTTCTTACTTCTTAAGTTTAATTAATTTTAGCTTCGGTACAACTGTGTTTTTACTTATATATTTCTTTCCATCCATAAACGGTTGCAAGACTGTTGGTATATCTATCTTCCCTTTAGCATCTTGGTGCGTCTCCAATAATGCGATCAACATTCTCGGTATAGCACAAGCAGTTCCATTCAATGTATGTGTATATTTCTCAGAATTTCCATCCTTATATTTAATATTAAGTCTTCTAGATTGATAATCAGTGCAGTTACTACAGCTTGATATCTCACCAAAATTATTGCGTCCTGGCATCCAAGCTTCAATGTCATATTTTCTAAAAAAAAAGAGATTTAAGTTGAATTTCATCATCATCATCAGCCTATCAGAAGCCCACTGCTGAGCAAAGGCCTCTTTCTCACATGGAGAAGGTTTGAGCATTAATCACCACATTTACTCAAGACGATATTGCTTAAATTGAATTTAAGCAATATTTACTATATAGTATTTTCATACAAATATTTGTAATATATGGATATATTACCTATATGCGGGTGCTCCCAACTCATGAGGCGGCATATCCAAAACTTTCATATACAGACCAAGAGGTCCAAATAATTCTTCCTGGGTCTGTCTGATATATTCAAGCATTTCATCGGAATGTTCTGGAGAAGTTACTGCAAACATCTCTACTTTAGTAAATTGATGTACTCTGTAATTAATAGTCATCATTTAATTAGAAAAATGTTATGTAATAATTAAATTGCAAATAAGTATATAGTATAACTAAACCTGTATATTCCTCTTTCTTCTACAACATTTGATGTTTCAGCACGATAGCATCTACTAACAGCCGCCAACTTCAATGGAAGGTCTTCTTTTTGTATTAACGAGTTGGACAAAAGACCAGCTAAAGACATTTCTGCCGTTCCTGATAAATACAAGTCTGGACCATGATACACTGGGTCTAATGAGTAAATCTGTAAATTTTAACATAAATACATAACTATAGAGATATGCTAAATACATATATAAAAATTTCTCAAGTAAATGTACCTGTGTTCTGTCACTATTGATAGACATACCACAACTTTTCAGCACATGACTGGGAAGTATGTCAGGAACAGAAACCAATTGAAAATTCCTCTTTATAAGATTAGTTACGGTGTATTTTATCAAGGCCTCTTCTAATTCAGCTAATTCTCCTAAGTAATAGTAGCTCTTATTGCCACAAGTGTATCCTAATTTGTCAGTTCTTAATAAATTTAAATAATTTGTTATTTCACTAAACTCTAAAGGTTTGTGTGCACCAAAATCTCGCTTTTCATTTATTTCATGTATAACTTGAGGTTCCTCTTGATACGTTTCGACGGTTGGATGAGTTTTGTTAGGTAAATTAGCAAGTTGTTGATATAAAGTTTCTTTTAAAGAATTATAACTTTCCGTGGTTGATTGTGTAACTTTCAATAAATTATAAATCTCATGAACGCGATCTATGTCCCCTATACCTTTTCTTCTTTCAATATTCTTTTTGATATTTGCTTGATTTTTTAAGTCACAGTAATAGTTCATATCAATATCAGGAAGGCATGAATAGAATCGAATTTTCTTAGGAAATTTTATAAGCTTTACTGTAAGAACTCGATGAGTGAACATTATTACAAACTTTTTTGTCTATTTCTACAAGATTCCTTTTACTTCATTACTATCGCTCGAGTCACAATAAAACATTATATTCAAATTGAATTAAATATACCTTTTGAATTGTAAGTTTTGACAAGTGACAACATTGACAAATGACATTAGTTTTATTTGGATTATATCCATAGATATTATAGATAATCTATAGATTTTTTTGTCTATGGTCCACAACTATCCAAGATATTGACATTTCGTTTTAAAAATTTATAAATGACAACATTTAACGAAAAAAATATTGCGCGGGAAACTGACATGACATCTGAGAGTTGACGCAAACTTTATAAAGTAATAAGTTACAAGATTTTCTATATTTTTTTTCACATAGTGAGCAGCTATATAACCAATATCCAAAATGTTATTCTTTATATTTTTTTATAACATATGACATAACAAATTGTTTATATTTGTAAAAACATACATAGATACATTTTACAGACATGCTTACAAACCTGCTAAATCAAAAGTGACTTTAGTGCAGATTTAAAGGTTTTTAAATCGTTTCAAAAATGGATAACGCTACACATTCAGCATCTCGAAAGTTTGTATTATTGAATTACACCTTTTTGTGATTGATATTCTTCATTATTTTACCTAAAACAATATTAATAACTTAAACGTATTTTAATATCAACTGTTTTTATACAAATTATTAAACATTTTACTGAAGAATGTGCTGGACAGATTAGTTACTACATTTATTGTAATATTTTTAGGTTCGACAGAAAATCTTCAACAAAAGATGGACAACTTAAAATTACAAGTATGTTTGCCAAAAAGAGAAGTAGAAGTCCAACTGAAAGTGCTGAGAAAGATGATACGGTCAGTGATAGATTATTTTAAAGTTTTGTAGTTATTGAAGCTTTTTTACTATTTAACATACTTTCACTTCAAAACTATTTATGATTCTATTTCAAATAAATATATAATTTACAAATATTTCTTACATAATAACTAATTCTCATATTTTCTATCACTATACAGTTTGCCTTAATTAATAAGAAACTATTGTGCTAGACAATGATTTTATGATAATAAACTATTACTTACAGAAAAAGTTAAAGATTAACACAGAATCTCATGAAATTGAAGTCTGTAATGACAAATCAAAAATAGGAAATGGAATAAATAGTAAATCCGATGATGAAAATTCTCAAGAAAGTAAAACAACTTCACCGAACTCAGTTTCCGTGAAGTTAAACAATGAAAGTAGTCTTGTAGATAAAGATGAAAACCACAATATTGAAGCTAAAACTGTTCCTGAAATTATTAATACTAACAGTAGTTGTAATGACCAAGAAGAGGAAGAAATGACTAAAGACAGCCTTGAAAATAAAGTCGAACCAAATGCTATAGAAGAACAAGATAAAACGGAACCAAAACCAACTGCTAAAATTCCAGATATGGAGAAATGTGATATTTGTGGACAGTTTTTAAATAACTCGGATATTATATACTATCAAGGACATCCTCAGGATTCGGTTGAGGAATTCATAGCTCTTACTAATGAAAAATTGGTATTGGCCTCAGGTAAAACTAGCTTGTCGCCGTGGAGTTCGGTTATATCGCATTTCCAAGAGAACCTTTCAAAAGTGTGGGTTAAAAATTATCCTATGTTCTTTCTCAAGGTCAACTCTATCTCTGTACCAAATTTCATTAAAATCAGTTCAGTGGTTTAGCGTAACAGACAGACAGACAGACAGAGTTACTTTCGCATTTATAATATTAATAGGGATAAGAAAGCTACCAAGTATACTCAATAAGTAGGTTATAATTACATAAATACATTTTCTGCTTTTAGGTGATGAGGGAGACATAATGGAAAGACCGCAGACTAATATAACAGGATTCTCAATATTCGATCAACATGGCCATTTATGTCCCATAGACGGAGGTCTTATTGAGAGTGATGTAAGAATATATATGTCGGGCTATCTTAAATCTATTTGTTCTGATTCACCTGAAATCGATGAAGACTCTATAGCAGTTAAAGATGTCGGTCCGATCATAGAATGGTAAATATCAACAATTAAACTAGTAATATGTACCTAAATATAAATTTATTAAAAATGTTTAAATATGTTCAGGTTTATTCATGGATTCGATGGAGGTTCAAGAAATTGTATTACACTGTCTACGGAATTTGGTGAATACAATCTGCTAAAACCGAGCACTGAATATACTCCGTTAATGGACAATTTGTATGAAAAAATATGGCTCAGTAAAGTGGTGGTTGAATATTTAGAAGAATACCACTATCTTCAGCCAACTTATGAGGATTTGTTAGAAGTTATAAGAGAACATTCAATACCAGATTTGGAGGACAAAAAAATGACTGAAGAAATGCTTCACAAACATGCACAATTTGTTTGTGACCAAGTTGTTAGTTTAGAAACTGATGAAGACAATGAACCCTTGATAACCCTTCCCTGTATAAGAGAGTTAATAAAATTAATGGGAATAAAATTCGGCAAAAGGAAAGTTCGCGCGAAAATAGACTACAAGAAGATTGACAAGAAAGCTTGGACCAAAGCAACAACAACTCCGCTCGTTCAGAAGACATTCGAGCATTTCTTTGCGAACCAATTAGATAAGACGAATCATGAGTTGGTATTGAGAAGAAAACGTTGTGGGGTCTGTGAAGCTTGCCAATTACCTGATTGTGGCGAGTGCAATGCTTGCAGGGCCATGTTAAAATTTGGTGGACACGGCCGTACTAAAAAAGCGTGTGTTAGAAGATTATGTCCCAACATGGCGGTTCAACAGGCCGAAGATTCAGAGCTAGAAGACGAAGAAGAATACCAACAAATGACTGAAAAACGACATCTCGATAAAATCGATGACGCCCTACCTGTTAAACTAACAGGCGGAAATAATAAGAACATTAAATGGATCGGTGACCCTATTAAGGCTGACGCTACTAAAGTTTACTATGAGAAAGTTGAAATAGACGGAGCGGAACTGGCGCTAGGGGACTTTGTTATGGTCGAAACATCACAATCGAATATTCCCGCGTTAGTAGCCAGGGTCACTTATATGTGGAAGGAGAGTATTAATCCTAAAGCGGGTTATTTCCATGCTGAAGTTTTCATTCGATCGTCTGACACCGTTTTGGGAGAGGTCGGTGACCCGCGAGAAGTGTTCTTGGGCGATAGATGCTGTCATGGCGCCCCTTTATCATCGATATTAAGAAAAGCGTTCGTCGAGAAGAAAGAAACACCGGCTGATTGGTTTAAGCTCGGCGGGAAGGAAGTTGTCGACCATTTCTTTGAAGACGACGGCAAAACTTACTTCTACCAAAAATACTATGAAAGGTTCACGGCACGTTTCGAAGATCTTCCGGACGATCCTGAATGTCCTAACGCGTTACGTAAACATAGATTCTGTCCATCCTGCGAACGAAAAACGAGACGGGACGCTCGCGATATACCAAAGATATCTGGAAAACTAACAGAAAAGTCTGAAATTGTTAAGGAAGCGAACAGATTTGAATGGACGACTATCAGATGGCGGGACCACGATTACAAGAAGGGTTGCGGAGTGTTTTTAAAGCCTGGTACATTTAGATTTAAAAACTCCATGAATAACAACAGTAATGGCAATAATAGGGTTAAATTAGACAAAGTCGACGAGGATATATATCCGGAATATTATAGGAAGACTGATAATTACTTGCGAGGCTCGAATATAGATACCGGGGAGCCGTTCTGTGTTGGTTATATAGCAGCGGTGACTGCGGCTAGTGAAGGACCATTGGTTATACCACAAGATATATACATTAAAGTCAATGTTATGTACCGGCCAGAGAACACTTACAATAGATTCCCACATCACGAAGACGTCAACGTAGTATATTGGAGCGATGAAATCAAGGAAATATCGTTTTCAGCAGTCGTAGGACCCTGTAATATATGTTATGTAGACAACATACCACAGCAAGACCACATTTACGACTGGCTAGAGAAGGACCCAAGTAGAGTATACTTCCGGATGGCATTTAATAAGAAAACCGGTCAAATTGAGGACGTTCCGCAAAGCGTTAAATATGTTGGTAGAGGTGATAAGGGTAAAGATAAAGGCAAAGGGAAAGGGAAGTCGAGTAAAGGCACGCAATCTACACCCACTGTGAAAGTCGATGAAGTTAAAGTTAGGCCGTTAAGGACTTTGGACGTGTTCGCGGGTTGCGGCGGTTTATCTGAAGGCCTTCATAGATCAGGTGTCGCCGAATGTCGCTGGGCCGTCGAAAATCTAGAAGCCGCCGCTCACGCTTATTCCCTCAATAATAAAAACTGCATCGTGTTCAACGAAGATTGCAACGCTTTGCTGAAAGACGCAATGGACGGGGCGACTCATAGTGCGGGTGGATTGAGAATACCGATGCAAGGTGAAGTGGAACTGCTCTGCGGTGGACCGCCGTGTCAAGGGTTCTCAGGGATGAACAGATTCAACTCCAGAGAATATTCAAACTTCAAAAACTCTTTAGTTGCATCGTATCTGTCGTTCTGCGATTTTTACAGGCCTAAATACTTCATATTAGAGAATGTTAGGAATTTCGTCGCCTTCAAGAAGGGGATGGTCTTGAAATTGACTCTCAGAGCGTTATTGGATATGGGATATCAATGTACGTTCGGTATCCTTCAGGCTGGGAATTATGGGGTACCGCAGACTCGTAGGAGACTCATTATATTAGCCGCGGCGCCGGGCTACAAGCTTCCTTTATATCCGGAACCCACGCACGTTTTCAGCAGACGAGCTTGCTCATTAACAACCACCATAGACGGAAAGCGTTTCGTTACTAACATACAATGGGATGAATCCGCACCCAGACGAACTTGCACCATACAGGATGCCATGAGCGATTTACCACAGATATGTAACGGCGCGAATAGAATAGAAATAGATTACGGCTGTATGCCAGAAACATACTTCCAGAGACTTATTAGGAGTAGAGATGAGAGCGCGAAATTAAGGGATCACATATGTAAGAATATGGCGCCGCTTATACAGGCACGTATGAGTAGAATACCGACTACACCCGGCTCTGATTGGAGAGATTTACCAAATATATCCGTTGCACTATCAGATGGTACCAAATGCAAGGTTTGTACTTCTACACTTGTAACGTCATATTTACGTTGTTGCCATAAATTTTACATGAAATTCAAATAGATCCGAAAGCAATGCTAAAAATATATGCACATGAATATCTAACTCATTATTTTATTCCATTTAATATATATTATTATCTTCTTCTTATATATTGTACCAATTCTGTATAACAAATTCCAGGTGTTACAATATCGTTACGACGACATCAAGAACGGTCGATCTTCCAGCGGCGCTCTACGCGGTGTCTGCGCATGCGCAGCCGGCGGAGCGTGTTCCGTGGCTGACAAACAAGAAAACACGCTCATACCGTGGTGTCTACCGCACACAGCCAACAGACATAACAATTGGGCTGGACTCTATGGTATAAACTAAACAAAACTTAGATAAATAATTAATATCGTTGAACTAGATCAGTCTGTTTGTAAGTTGTCAGTTTGAGTCAGTGGTGGCCTAGTGGTTAAAACGGCCCGCCTCTCGTGCACGAGATCGCGAGTTCGATCCTGGCCCTGGCAAGTACCAATGTGATTTTTCCAAGTCATGTGTACTTTCTAAGATTATTAAGACATCACTGGGTAATGCATTCCCAAAGAGGGAAATTGCCAGGTAGAAGATCATAGAACTAAATCGCAGTGTACCGAACATTGGACACAATTTTAATTATCCTTTTTTTTTCTATAATACAAACGATCTCTCTACCAGCTGAGAGGCGGAATAACTTTATTTCACATCACATTTTTGTCAGTTTTACCTATGGAAAAGCTTTTATCATTGCTTTATGGTATATAACAAGAAATATAAACACAAAATTCTTGATACCGATTTATTTATTAAATTTTCATTATAAACATTTTTAACTATTCATAATACATATTAATTGCAGGTCGTATATCATGGGACGGCTACTTCAGTACAACAGTGACGGATCCCGAACCGATGGGAAAACAAGGCCGTGTTCTTCACCCGGAGCAAAACCGCGTCGTTTCTGTTCGTGAATGCGCTCGCTCGCAAGGATTCCCCGACACTTACTTATTTGCTGGTTCCATACAGGATAAACATCGACAGGTTTGTCTATAATATACATATATCACTAGCTGAGCCCCGCGGATTTTCGGGATGTATAGTAACCTATGTGTTATTCCTGGACGTCAGCTTCCTGTATACAAAATTTTATCAAAATCGGTTCAGCCGTTTTAGCGTGAAGAAGTAACAAATACACACACACTCACAAACTTTCGCAATTATAATATTAGTAGGATTATAGACTTTATAAGTATAAAGGACATACGATTTTAAAATTAATTTCTATAGTTGGTGTTATGAAAAAACTTGAAAAATAAATCCTCATGGTAACTAGTAATAGCTCTGCATTTAGTTATTTTTATTAATTCCTTGTAATAAATATAAAGTATGTATTTATTTGGAAACAATTACTGTTTTCCTAAACATATACATATTATGTACATAAAATATGTATGTTTTATATAAGTAAAAACCTTAAATTATCAAAATTAATCTAAATTAATAAATGTTGTCTTCAACAGGTTGGAAACGCAGTGCCGCCACCTTTAGGAGCGGCGTTAGGAAGAGAAATCAAGAAAGCATTGAGTGCCTTATCTTGAAACTTGTGATATGTACAAAAAAATGTTGTGTTCAAAATCATGTCTATTATATTTTGACATTTCTCAACTTTGTTTTTTTTATTAGCAATTTTTTTCGTGTAGGATTATCCCTATAATGTATATTCCCTTAAACAAATATTAATATACGCAAATTATTTTTTCTTAATTATTTGTTGCTGTGGAACACATTTTAAATTGCTATAATGTATTTTATAACACTGCGTTACACGATTTTGGTACACACGTATGTGTTAGCTAGAAAGAATAGCTAATGATGCACAGATTAAATGTTCCAAACATATGTAGTATCTATCACATCTAGTTTTCGAGGTACATGCCAAATTATTTTTTCTAGGCTTATCACTTTAGGCGTAAACGAAATAGTTAGCATTTTTTGATGTGTTGTACCTTTTATTACTTTGTTTTGTTATCATTTTTATTCTATAACATCGTTATATTCGTACATATTTCTTACGAAATCCATTATGAATACTGGACTAAGTGGTCGTCGCAACTGCTTAAATGCACCAAATAAGTTTTCTTATGTTTGCGGACAGTATATTGTGAATTTACTAAATACTGTTGTTTTTTTGTATGTTGATTTAACTAATTTTCTTTAAAATATGTTTTAGCATTTAAATTTTTAGTAGAATTTGACACATTTCTATCAGAAAAATGAGACGTGAGGAATGGAAATTTTGTATGTACAGGCGGTCCTCGACTTACGTCGTTTCGATTTACGTCGTTTCAAGTTACGTCGAACAATGTTTTGACACTATTCCTCAAGCATACGTCATTTGTTTCGATTTCCGGCATATCGGAGAATTCACTTGTCGCAAGGTCAATGTCCGTGAGGGGCGCTAACCGTTTGCCTGACATTGCAGTTACTACTGATGATATTGATGATCTGTTAAGCTCACATTCGCAAGAACTGACTGATGAAGATCTTATTGAATTGGAGGCACAAGTACAAAAGGAAGCACTCGAGTCACAAGAAATAGCTTCTTCTATTAGTGACTCTGAAAAAGAACTTACACTAAAAAAACTTTCCGTAGCCTTTGCAAATTTGAAGAATGCCATGAAAATTTTTGAAGAAAATGATCCTAATTTTGAGAGAAGTTTTAACGTTAATAACAAAATTTGTGCAGCCTATCACTGTTACCAAGATCTGTATGATAGCAAGAAGAAAGAAGCCAAGCAATCTAGAATTGATAGTTTCTTTAAGCCAAAAGTTTAATTTATTATTTATCAATGCATATGTATAAGTTAACTATTCACAACATGTAAGGCAGACCCTGGGTATAGCTGGGAAAATTGCCAGGTAGAAGAAGAAGAAGATGTATAAGTTTTATAATTATTATTAAAATTAATAACACACAAATACCAAAAATAACTAGCAATTTCATAAGTGCATAATATATAATTATTTTAAGAACTTACTTTTAATAATAAAGTACGCCCTTTGTTATAAATGCAGTTTTTTTTATTATTTCGAGTCCGTGTGGAACCTAACCCTTGAGTTTTACATGTAAACATATGAAAAAATATGTCTCGACTTACGTCGTTTCGATTTACGTCGCGTATTTCAAGAACCTAACATGCCGTAAGTACGAGGACTGCCTGTATTTTTAAATAACTATAAGTATTCATAAGAAAACATGACATTTCAAAGCGGGTACTCAATTTTTTTTCATTTGTAACGCAGTGTAATTATAAGGTTTAAATAATGTGTAATTTTAATTGAGTAAATTACTAAGTATTTTCAATAATTTTGCAGTAGGTAACCTAGTATTATGCAAAGAACAAATGTGCCAAAGAATTTTGGGTGTTATTTGTCGAAAATATAAAGATATAGGTATATATTATTTTTTTAATGCATCTTTTGTTTTGCGTTTAATATTTTTAACTAACATATTGAGCTCAGTTTCTTCCCTCGATTTCTTAGCGTTTGGTTCCGTCTCCATATTATCCGCTGGTCGTCTTTTTAATTTCTCTTTAATCAATTTTTCCATATTCTTAGTCTTCTTAAAGTTCGGGTCTGTGGGGTCTATGTTGTAGTGATGTGATTCATACAGAGCTGAAAATCTCTTATCATCAACATCAATCTCAAAGTCTGGAACTGTTGATTTCTGTTGCTTCATTTTTTCTTTAAGCTTCCGTTTCCGTTTCGACTTATTCGTTATATTCTCAGCTTCTTGTATTTTCTTGAGGCTGAAGTGTTGTTTTCCATCATCGTCCTCTAATAGAAGTTCTAACTCCGCGTTTCTTTTCCCTTCATCATCCTCATTATCTTCAGATTGTTTTTTATTTTTAGATTTCTTTTTAAACTCGGGTTTGTTAAATTCTTCTGCGAAGTACGGATCATTCATGTCAACATCGGATGGTATGTCAGAATCGCTTTCAGAATCAGATTTATTTTCTTCTACATTTTGTTTATTCTTCATTTTACGTTCTTTTTTCTTTTCTTTTCTCTTGAGCATCATTTTTTCGAACGGTGTCAAATTCTTATCATCTGAAAATCAAACGATATAAATGAAATCCATAACGAAAATATGCTATACAACTTAAGATGGACTATACTATATAATTTTGTTTTTTGCCGAGTTTCTTTCGCCGGTTCTTCTCAGGTCAGGGTATTTTCTTTTCCGAACCGGTGGTAGTGTCTCAAGTGACCATCAATAAGAAAGTGTAATGCTTCTATATTGAATAAAGTTATTTGAGTTTGAGTATATTATACAGACCTTCAGTCATCTTTTTCTTGACCAACTGTTCAGCCTTGTCTTTAACTCCTAAGCCCCATGTAATCTCCATTTCCATGTCTTTGTTCTGTTTCTTATCTTCTTTGTTCTCAATATCTTGTAGAAGCATTTTGTACTTCTGTATTGGATCTTCATTGTCTTCAACATCTGAATTTTCTTTTTCATCCTCACTCTTTTCATCTAAAACGATATAAGATTAAGTATTTATATTGCAAAACTTTTATTATAATCTGTCTCTATATTGTAGTATATAGAATAGTGTCTCGTATTGTGTTAAAATAACTATTTTTAACAAAATGTATATAGATGTATACAGAGTATATATACCAGAATATATTTTGTCTGTTTGCCTGACTCATTCAGCAGATTTTTTGAAACGGCGAGGCCATTTTGATGAGACTATCAATAGCATATAGCTTATGTACTAAAGAGTAAAGTATTTTACTATTGCTACAGAAGTTATATGATTAATAAGAATAAATAACTATTCTATGCAGTTAATATTAACCTTACCTTCACTACTGGAAGCCAGATATTCTTTGAGATCTAAATTATCAATTTTTCCACTAAGAGCACTCTTGATAGCTTCGGCTCTGTTTGGGTTTGTAGTGTCCCAGGTGAGATCAACTTTAGCCTGTTGTAATGCTGTGGTTGTAAATAACCGAGGCCTGTATTTAGTTAAATCTGGGAGGTTGTTACATGTCTCACGGGGTTCCTGTAACCAATTTAAATATGCATATACTGGTAGGAAAATTAATTATTTATAAATATGATGTATAGGTATACACAACACGTTTTTTTATTGAACTAAGTCGACATCTCCAAAGCATAAATGTTGTATGGATAAAGTACAACCATGAACCTAACCACCAACTTATGAATCAGAATATTATTAAGATAGTAATTGATGCCATTGCATTGCTATCTTGATATTGGGGCAATCATGTAGTTTTAAGTATACATTATAAGCTTTAATTATGTGATTCTTAATATAAAATACATCTAAGTAAGTTTGCTTGTTTTGCTGGAACCTCTGGCCGGTGTGAAACGCACCTTATAATTTTTGTTAACATGTTCCACTTTATCAATAAGCAGTTGGATTTTGCTTCATGGGACGTAATTTATATCACGTGTTTGAACTATCATTGACTAATGTAATTCGCACACTTAGTATTAACGTGAACTAATTAAAAATTAGTTAAAAATAAGTTACATACACTTGCAGGCTGCAGCACTATTACGACGCCATCTTTAAATGTTGTAAAAAACGGAACTAAAATTAGTGCTATCTGGGTTTTTATAAACTTTCGGTCTCTTTCATATTTGTGACTTTGATGACCTAATATTAGACATAACACAGTGATTTGATTTTTAATTTTTTTTTATTTTGTTCACTTTAATACTAAGCGTGCGGTATGACCATGTAAACACACCTGATCAAATGTAACATCATCTGGTATGAATCTCATATCAAGTTTTGTTGCGCTGCTCTCATACTCCATCCCGTCACATTCACTGTACAATTTATCAGCAGTTGCTACTGAATCACATTCAACAACAGCATAGAAATATTTGAGCCTGTTCAATTGATATCTCCGTAGCTTCTCCATATGGTATGTAGAACCTGTAAATGTTAATAATATTTTAAGTAATTAAATAACTCATGAAAAGTTAAAAAATAGGTTTACATACTAAAGAAAAACTTGCTATTGTAATTAATTAGTATATATATATACATATATATATATATATATACATAAAAAATATACTCACAAAGTATATTTTTTATAGTAAGTAAAAAAATATTGTTTTTAATTATGAGTACATATTATACAAACCTTCTTCATTTCCCCCATCATCCGAGTTTATTTCTTCTTCTTTGTTTTCTGTTAATTCAATCGGACCTCTTATATCCTCTTCTTGCATTCTTTTCAGTCCATATTCAGAAGGATATATCTAAAAGAAATAAAATAATTAATAATTAAATAAATATTGCTTTGAGAAGTAGATTCAATCTATAAGAGATATTCAATAACTTTTACAGAATAATTTAGTTATAAGTTTTTATTGAATGAATTAATAATTATAGTTCTAGAAAGATAATATTTTTTCAATATCAATAGTTTTATTCTAATATACTCACCGTAACATTATGTATAACACCTCCTGGAGGTAAAAATGAACTGAGAAGAACCATTAAGTCTGTCGCCTTAATATTATCCCAATCCATGTTACAAATAGCAAGCCTAAAAATTATCATATTATTAATAAGGGTATAAAGAAATAAATAAATAAGCCTTCCTGTGGTAAATTAAATTTTTACGAGAATATGTTTCTCACTATAAAACTAATTTGAGCTACTTGTTGAATAAAATACAAAAAAAATATACACAATTCATTAAATTGAATCAGGGAATAATTGATAAAGTAACTGGGACACTGTGATACAAAACTGGCAGTTACAAAATAAGCTATGTATATATGAAATGTTACTTCAAAAAAGTGATTTATTAATTATATGTCTATAGTCTATAGGAAGAGACTAGACCACATATTAAACACTTATATTCAATATATTTTATTTTATTAAAAAAATATTTTAATCTTTGCCTTTAACATATAAACCATTTATATGTTTTTGTATATTTTCTGTTACCTTTTGGTAGATTCCTCTGTTGTTTCAGCATCAGCATCAAGTTCACCCCATTCATGTTCCAATTCACTATCATCTTCAGAGCCACTACTTTCTTCGTCACTTGATGAGTCGGTCATCAAAACTCCTGGAATAATCAATGAGTAGAATACAAATTAAAAACCTACAAGTTTAGCAAAAATTATTGTTTAAATTTATATATTTATGTACCTTCGCCTCTAGCATAATCAATATCTAAGTCCAACAATCTTTTCTTAGTTTTCTTATCCAAAGCGCCTCTTTCCAGTTTATCGTTTTGGAAAGATACTTTTGATTCTTTATCTTTTGTAGAATCTTCGTCGTCACTGGGCAGTCTTCGTACGAAACGGCCTACACTAGACTGTTCTTCTTCGTCTTCCTGAGAACTCTGTTCCTTCTGTGTTTTAGTTTCATCTGTCTCTGAATCTTCGTCACTTGTTTCATCCTCTGATTCTAATTCGTAATACTTGCGTAAATTTTCTGTAGAAGTTTCATTTACTGGTCGGCCCCGTTTATCAACCGAATATTTAACTTTAAATTTTTCATCACTGAACATAGACTGGAACCTTTTATCGATTTTAACTTTCCTTTCATGTTTAGGTATTTGTCTGTACCGAGGATCATTCAAATATTTGGCAAAACGATTATCTTTCAAAATATCACTCATTGTGTTGTCAAGATTCCAATTTGAGAAACTCTAAAACTCAGTCTCGGTAACTGAAATTCTAGGTATTTTATGAGCACGAAACTAACCTTAAAATATGAACCTACTTTGTATACAAACTCACATGTTTGACCGTCGACTGAAACGTCAAAGTCGAAATTTTACAGATTTTTGTTAACGCAAAAATTTTAGATTTTAAATTTATTTAACAAATCCTCATATTTATTTTTTGTTCATTTAAAAAAGAACTATCATATATATCTAAATTTTACTTAGAAAACAGAGAAACATATTCAAAAATATCCGAGGAATATATTCTCAATTGTAATAAAATGTCAGCTGTTATCAAAATTGTCAGAACTCAGAAGTCAGATATGACTATTTTGTAACAATAATGGTTCGATAGTCCTATTCGATTTAAAATTAATGTCAAGCTTAAATCACAGTTTGTTAAAAAGATAAATTTTATTTAAAATGAATAGCATTGGGGAAGAATGTACTGAATTGAAGCAGAAATACGACGATTGCTTTAATTCATGGTTTTCAGAACGATTTTTGAAAGGCGACCACGACGATTCCATGTGTGCAGGGATTTTCAAAGTTTATCAGGAATGCGTCAAGGTGAGTGAAGACTTAAAATTGATATATCTAATATTGATTAATTTTGAGAAATATTACCAAAAAATAAAATTGTGTTTGTAATAATCGCTTATGGATTTTAAAGTAAGTTTTATTGTTCCATTTTTTTACAGAAAGCCATGAAGCAACAAAATATTGACTTCAAAGATATCGATAAAGATGTTTTGGGTACAGAGAATGAGTTTAAGGCACCACCAACAGACAATAGTTGACACACACCATGTAGCATTCTCTGCATTTTGAGCCCTGTTTCTTTCAGGCATTTATTTAGCATTTCAGATTCAGATGTAAAATAAGTGTTATTAAATTGTGAAATGTAAATGTTGTCAACAAATATTATACAATACTTATTGTTTTTTGATGGTACAAATGAATTTAAATTTAACTATCCACTATAAATGCATTTTTGGAACATAAAAATATTTATATTCCATACTAGTCCAATTATTCTGTTAAAAAACACAATTATTTATTTCAATGTTATAGAACTTTGAGTGAATATTTATGTAGAACAATTAGTTGAAATAAACATTTAAAAGAATGAATTTTTTTATTTCAATGAATAATATACTTTTTTGACAGTGCCATGAGGTGATATGACACAAAAATTAAAGATTCATTTTTAAATACTATAAGATAGCATTAAATATTATCTCCCTTATAATAAGTACAGTCATTTCATGTAAAAATTATTACCTTAATCTTTAAATGTTCCTTGAAAGAAATTAATAAATGACAATTTCTATTTTGCTTTTAATTCAATTTTACATTTAAAATATATTTTGGCCGGAAAAGTGGAAACAAAATACAGGGCATCTGTATTTTACTCACTTGTAAGATTTATGTAAGTGAAAAATGTCTGATAAGAATTAATATAAGTTATGTAAAAACAACTGAAAGAACATAAGGAGTAAAATGCTAAATTTTACATGAACTAGTTTATTAGGTCTTATGAGAACCTCTCACAATGAGTTCTAGACAATATACATTACGAGTTTTTTAGATACAAAATATCACCAGACATTTTATTTCCAACATTAATGAGGACTATATCAATGTACTGCATATATATTGCAAGAATATCTTAGCTTAAGTATGTAAGGAATAATACAACATGTTTTAGTGTCCATATATTTATTAATTCCATATCTTAAGCATAATTTACTAAAATAGTAATTTTTTATCTCTGGCTTGTGTCTCTGGGTCTGTAGGCGATACCTCGACTCTTCATTTCTCTTATAACACCAGCTGGAAGCCGGCCAGACACAGATATAGCATAGACACCTTGACAAAATCTACCTGAAAATACAAAACATTTGTTATATAACATTGTTTTATGCTATGAAAACTATTAATTTGACTTCTTGGAAATTTAATAATTAGTAAGAAAGTTATAACACCAAAACACAATTGTTGTAATTATAAAAATAATAATTAAAACCAATATATGTCCTACTACTAATATCAAATTGATAATGTAACCTGATACTTTTTCATTTTTATGGTTTACTATTATCGTTTCTTGTCAGTCATAAGAGTGAGGATATTAATGTAATATATTTATACTATATTTATTATATTTAAAAATAACATAAGGCTTCTTTGACATTAGCTGTTCTTAGACAATACTACATATTATCTAGAACCACTGACTTCTAAAATATGTATGTATAAAACATGATTGCATTTCAAGTTTAATAATTTTATATGTGTATCAAACGTGAATACAAATTAAACATATAAAGAATAAAATATTATGCATAAATCTCAGCATATACATCATCTATCAAGTAATATAACTTTTTATAGAAGCATAATGACAATATAGGTGAAATTCAATACTTCAGCATTATTCTTCCATAGTAAAAATAAATACTTACTTATTCTCTGCCACTTGCAGACCCAACTATCAACAGGGCTCATAACTGCAATCATTCTGTAAATGATTTTTTATTTATATTTTAATGTGTACAAAATCTGTGTCAATTATACATAACAAATGTCAGTTTAGAAATTTTTGATGAAATGTATGTTAAAAATTATAGACTGTAATATTGGATTAAATTATCATTTTAAACTAACCCATCAAAATTGTTACTTGTGCAGTCATATACATTGTCCTTATTGTTCTTCATCCGGAGAAATTCGTCACAATTGTCACAGCCATCGTATTCGAACTGATCGAATGTCTGTAAAGTTAACTGAGTTTTTAGTTCTACACATTTAAAATATTTAATAATATAATAATCATACTTACCTTAATTAGAGAACAAACTAAACATGCTCTTAAACCTCTTAAATCTTTTGGAACCGTGTCAAGGGACATTTTTGAAAATGGCTTTTAACACAAACAACTTTATGTATTTATATACTACATGGAATTAGTTCTGCATATTATTTTGAAAAAAAATATCAAGATTCAGGCTAAGCTCAACAAACGTAAAATGGCATTCGTCATTTGAAAATTGAGTGTTACTTGTCACTACTCACTTTGCTGTTGCATCTGTCATTATTTTATACCCTTCTACAGATAAAGTAATTTTTTATCCTATTTGTCGGATTCTGGACTTTTGAGTAATAGTATTACGTGTTTAAGTCGTATATTTTTTACTAGGTATATCTATTACTCAATCATTGAACTTCAATATTTCAATAATAATTTTGGTTTTGTGTTTCTGAATATTTAGCATTCTATTTGTAAGAAACATTTTAATTGTGAATTATAATAAATCTTTTAAGCCTTAACACAACAGATATCATAATTTGGCACTCTAAAAATTGTTACTGTTATAGAAAATTCCCAGTTCAATCGTGTAATACTGTCTTTTGCTTATATTAATAATATGAGTTGTCCTGTTTTCTCTCTGAAGAAATGCATAATAACGGGAATGTCGCTAAAGAACATTTCGTGTCCTGATTCTTCATTTTTATTACCTCGATTCAATCTACTCTGAATCTTCTATGATGAAGTAACAAAAGGAACTTTTTTCCGCCGTCGACAGTCACATTCAGTTTGAAAAGTTATTTGTTTCATTCAATTTTCAATTCAAATTCGTTTCAATTCGTTAATTCCACTGTCCAAAAAATTTGTGGACGAATAACAAAAAAATATTAGCAATTCTATCGGAGTTGCACACATTGAAATGTGCAAACATTAATAATAACGTCTTTCATTAAGTACTAGTAAACCTGGCGAACTCCGTTTCGCCTCCAGAAGGCTTTGTTTTATGGAACATTTCGTTTGGTGATTAAAAGATGAAGTTTTTTTTTGTTTTATATTTGAACAGGAAAATTTTTAGCAATGAATTCATTTCGGTTACAAAAATGAAGTGTTATTTACTTGAACTTCTCTAAGTAAATGAAAGTGAATCCAAAGTAGATACCGAATCGAAGAGTTATACGTGTCCGCAAATTATCCGTTTCATTGAAGTGCTCCTTTGTAAACCACATTTGTTGTTTTTTGGTCTAACTTTAACACAAATAAAGCGGATGGTTTCCAAACTCGTGAATACGCAAAATATAACTGCCCATGTGATAAACAATGATTTTCTAAATTTATCCCGCAAATACTAAATGGTTTTAAGAGTTCAAACTACAAACACATTACCTTAATATTTTTATTTTTATATAGTAGATTTCTTACAAATATCAAATTGTCATCCATACTTCATTACATATCTGTCATTATACGTCAATTGCATAGCTGTCAATTGTGTTATTCCACGTTTTATAATGACTGACGTTTTATATCAAGTCCCACGGGAATGCTGTCGAACGGGATAAAAAGTATCCTATTGCAATTTCCTGGTTCTAAACTACCTCCCTGCTAATTTTCAGCTGAATCGGTTCAGCCGTTCTTGGGTTATAAGTGAAGTCACTAACACGACTTTCTTTTATATATATAGATTAATTTTATGTTAAATCAAAGGTTTTTAAAATTCGAAATGTTAAATGATAAAATAAAACTCATTAATTCCATTACAAAGTATATTGAAATCGTAGACGATACTTCAATGTACTTAGTCTTCGTCTACCCCCGAGTTCTAGGCTTTATGCTTTATGTAACAACATTGAGCGACAACATTGATCTCTTAATGATGATGTACCCTCAACTATTTAGCTAAATAAGTTTATTGACAAGCTTAAATCCCCTTATATTCTTAAAAAAATAAACTGCCTAGTCTTTAAAGACTACTAGTTTAAGCTAATCTCAGAATAAAGGAGATTAATTCCAATTCCTTTAATAAAGTTTCTAAAAATGAAAAATTCCAGTAAAGGAGATCGTCGATTTAGTTCAACATTTGGACTATAAAAAAAACTTTTTCAGAAAAATTAATTAAACATTTCCTTATAAACTAACTTTTAATTACTAAGTATAATAAGTGACATTTTTTCGAACGTATAACTTGGTAATATAAAGATCAAACACTAAATGTGTGTAGAAACTACATGTCGAAGAATGAAGTTAAAGGGATGAAAAAATAGATTCTGAAATTTTTCTTACTATTTTAAAGAATAGGGAGTAGAGACTAATAAAGTATTAAATTTAGTATAAACAAAATTGTGAATACATGTTTTAGGCCAGTGCAGATGCCTCTAAAAATGATGAAAAGTGAAAATAAATTATAGTAGAATGAAACCCATTAGAAAAGGAGGGGAATATTATAAAAATTAAGGGAAAAATAATTTACGGGCTATCTGAGGTCGGTAAAAAATGGGTTTTCTCGATTTCCAGAAAAACTAACAGTCCTTATGAAACATGTAATGTGGCAAAGTTGTAGATAATAAAAAGATCTAAAACTTTTGTACTAATATTTTTTCACATAACCTCAATATTTATGTGAAAATTCGAAAAACTAAGTTTTTGATTTTTTATTTTTATCTCTTACAAAAAACAATATTTTGTCACGAAATTTTGAGAAAACTTTCCTTTTGATATCCCAAATACACTGTAATTTATTTGATTAAAAATATTTATTTTTTCAGCTTATTTTGAATAAATATCAAAAAATCAGCATCATTTTCAAACGAAAAATCACCCGTCAAAATATTAGTGTTTTTCAAAAATGTTGTGTGTTTTCTGTTTGTTGAAATCTATATTTTCCGATGGTGAAAAAATAAATATAAATTTCTTACTTTCAGTACCATTTTTGGATAAAATAATCATGTCCCTTTTAATGAAATAACACTCGATAATGTTTCGAAAATGCTCTTTCAATTTATTTTTAATAGTTTTAGCAGCTTAATGTCAATTTTCTGTAAATTACCTAAAAGAGGGACTATCTTGAGAACTTCCAGAGTACACAACTATTAAAAATAAATTAGAGAGAGCATTTTCAAACCGATGTCGAGTGTCATTTCATTAAAAGAGACATGATTATTTTATCTAAAAATGGTACTGTAAGTAATCGAGAAAACCTATTTTTTACCCTTAAATACCCACGCCCGTACCATTCCCGACCTCAGATCGCCCGTAAATTATTTTTCCCTTAATTTTTATAATATCTTCCTTTTCTAATGGGTTTCATTCTACTTTAATTTAATTATGTTTTAAAAGCTATCGGCACTGGTCTATTTATGTTATTATTAATTTTTTAAATGGGATTTTGTTAATGGATTTACAGACATCATTTGAAATTCATTAAGTTCATTTTTAGGTGTTGCATTCTGTATTTAGTTTATTCATAAAATTCTATTCGACTACTTACAAACTGTAAAAGTATAAATAACTGATATATTTAATCTTCATTGAGATATTATTTTATATAAATTAGCTTTATCTCATTCTACGGAGGTTCTATCTAACATAGCCTACAATATAGGTATAAGATTGTCGAATTTGGTAAAGTTCTAAATTCATTATCTTATCCTTAGTCCTTACCACTCTGCGTCGCCACACTGCGTACGGGGCGTTTACAGTATTTTACTTATATGTATATCTGCGTCTATAATATCATTTGTGAAGATATATGAATTAAAAACAGGAATGAATATTTCACCACTTAAGACATTTTTAACAAACGTAAACATTATTTAAATTATAAAGCAATCCCAATAGATCTACTAGATTTTTGTAAAATGGAATATTACTAGTAGTTTTTTATATCATATTAAGATTGGCTGTCTAATAAAACTATCCTAGAACTTTTAAAGTACATATGTCGCTTAAAATACTTTAAAGGTCTTTTAAAAAAAATATGATTAAATCATAAGAATATGTTGAAATAAATATAACTGATTAAAAATGTCAAATAGGTATAATATGCTTTATCATTTATGGAAATCCACAATGACTCAAGTGTAGATTACATAAGTAATTTAAATCAATTAGATTAACTTATATTTATATTTTAAGTTTGTGCCCTGTCGCTGACAGATCCGGGGTACACCGACATAGCGGCCGATGGCTTTCGCAGTGGTTTTAGTGAGTAGGGGCCTGCCCAGGCCGAGCCTCACACATCCCTTCCGGCCCCACCAAGGCCGGTTGGACGGCTCGTAAAAAGAGTTTCCCTACGTCATCAAAAATGAAATATATATTTTTAGTTTAAATTATTATAATCAGCTTTGCTTTGTGTTCCCAACTTTAGGTATACAATTTTTAAGACTTTTATAGCACATAGTAAAGAATACGAAGGCTTTTTGAAAATTCATTCTAGCTTATATAACTTGTAGTATTTTGTTCACATTAGTATAATATTTATTAATCACAGAACAGATGTCCAACCCATGAAAAGTCGTATCATCTATAGTAAAATTTAACTATTTATGAGGCAATTTTTCATCATTTAAAACTTAAATCAGTTGGGAGGTTCATGCATAAAAGAAGAATTCCATTTAAATTCCTACAGTCGTTTCCGGAATTTCTACTGGAAATTAGAATTATATTTACAAATAAAATACGACTAAATGAAACTAATATTTTTCGGATTATACTACGCGTATTTTATTATTTTAAAAACTACATACTACGATACTTTACGATAAAAATATTAGTTTCATTTTAATGAATACTCGCGAAAGTCTTAGATCTCATTATAAAATACGACTACTAAATAAATTTTATAATTTTTAATTAAACAAATTGTTATACAACTAATGAAGATGTCCGTATTTTTACTGAAAATTAATTTAAATGTGCCTTTCAATATACCCTTGTTTTGATAGTTTTAACTGAAAATATAGTATTATTTAAATTTATACGCAAAAATAGCATTCCATTTTACCATACAGTGAAAATCTTCCATGTTATTTAATACATTACAATATAATATTCCGCAACTGGCGCCTGCTGTCAGACATTCAACAATGTTTTATGTAGTTATGTCA